AGAAATGGAATTAAAGAAAACACCTACAGCTAAGTACCTAATAAACAAGATAAATATATTACAGCATAAAATTAACTTACCAGAACAAGAAGAAATGGGGGGGATTAAATTTGCAAGGCAATTTTTTTAAAAAATGCTAACAAACCAGGTAAATGGTTAGCATATAGAATTAAAAAGAGAGAGAGAAAAAAACAATGATCAATGTAATATTGGATAAGGAAGGAAAGGAAATATTTCATTTATTTGTTTAGTTATTTAGTTATTTACTTGCTTATTTACTTATTTACTTATTTACTTATTTACTTATTTAGTTAGTTAGTTAGTTAGTTAGTTAGTTAGTTAGTTAGTTAGTTAGTTAGTTAGTTAGTTAGTTAGTTAGTTAGTTAGTTAGTTAGTTAGTTAGTTAGTTAGTTAGTTAGTTAGTTAGTTAGTTAGTTAGTTAGTTAGTTAGTTAGTTAGTTAGTTAGTTAGTTAGTTAGTTAGTTAGTTAGTTAGTTAGTTAGTTAGTTAGTTAGTGGATTTCTATCCCACCCATCTGGACCAAAGGTCTACTCTATACCAACAAAAGGAAATCGAAAAAGAAATTGAAAACTTTTATGCCAATCTTTATAAAAAGAAAGAGATTGAACAGGAGCAACAATGGAACTATTTGGATAAACTTCCGGATTGGGAATTTAGTTCTCAACAATTGGAAAACTCAAATAAACCAATCACAGCGAGTGAAATTGGAGAAGCATGGAAAAAACAGAAAAATGGGAAAGCCCCTGGACCAGATGGACTTCCAGCTGAATATTATTACAAAGCATTTGAAGAAACTTAAAGTCCACACTTCAAGAAATTAACAGAAGATACTGTATTGAAACTAGAGAGGAAATCCCGGATTCATGGAAAGAGACACATATCTCCTTAATACACAAAGCGAAGATGGGGGAAAAACAAATCAAGAATTACAGACCAATCTCTCTCTTGAATGTTGATTATAACATACAGTATATATGACCATTTGGGCAACAAGGCTAAAGGAGGTACTTAAGGAAATGATTC